CACCATTTCATATGGTTTCTTATTTATAATACTGGTAAGAGTGATGCACTGTAAGAGTAAATTGTCTTTCTCTTGGAAAAAAAAGCACAATGACTTGGCCTGTCATGAACTCCAGCCTCTTAAATCAGTATCTCTCCATTAGTCCAATGTCTCCTGCAATCTGTTTGCTGGTAGCATCACATTGTGAGTAGAAGGTTTATCAGTTCTGGGAATTATTAGGTCATAGATAGGGTAATAATGGACAGAGGTTATGGATGCTGGTTAGAACACAGACTGATAAGCCGAAGATAGAAGATAAGAAGTACATATATAAAAAAGCCAAACGGCAAGCTTCTGTTTTTTACCGCAGGCCCCAACTAAAGCTCCTGAGGAGAGCAAGGGTAGCCCAGGATTTTTTTCACAAATTTATTCAGAACTGACTCATTTTTACAATGATGATGACCCTGATGATGGTGATTCTGAGACTCCATCTGATGAAGAGGAGGCCGAGGAGGGCGAATTAGAAGATGGTGAACAAGAAGAAGAAAATGAGAAAACAATCACTAATGGTGATGATGAAACAACATCAAGAGAGAATTCCCAAAATGGTGAATCAGTAGACAATAAAGAAGAACAGAAAGAGGAGGAGCAAATTGATATTGCTAATGATGAAACACCATACGGAGAAGAGGAAGCCATAGATGGCAAATCAGCAGACAGTGGAAAAGACCAGAAAGGAGAAGAAAAAATAGATAGTGCTGATATCGAAGCACCATCAAAGGAAGAGGAGGCCTTAGATGGTGAACCAGGAAAAAATATAAATGAATCAAAAAATGAAGAAAAAGCATGTAATGCTAATGTTGAATCACTATCTGGGGAGGAGGCCCTAGATAGTGAATCAGAAAAAAATATAAAAGAAGTAAAAAATGAACAAAAAAATGAGACTGCTGTTGGTGAGGCAGTTGATGAGGAGAATGTTAAGAGTGAGTCTGAATTTAGATCGGAGTCAGACAACTCTGAAGATACCATGGAAAAAACTGTAGAGAAGGAGACTGATTTCAAAGAGAGCAAAGAGGAGATTAAGTCTGAGTCTGAACTGGAGATTGGCCATACTGAGAATGTCATCGCTAAACCTTCAAGTGAGGAGGCCATAGAAGAGGATATTGATAGCAAGAAGGAGAATCAACAGGATTTATTGAACAAACAGTTTGTGTTTGATGAAGATCTATCTTTGGAATCAGCTGATGTAACGTCTGAAAGTGCAAAACCTGAAATTCCTGTGGAAACAAAAGGACTGGAAACTGATAACACTGAGGAAAGTGGCAAGGAACAAGAACATACACAGCAAGAGCCAGAGGATGGATGCCCTGCATTTGAGAAGAATGACGAGAAGAGTGAAGGAATGGAAATAAAAAATGGGTGGTTCAAACTTTCCGATGAGGAGTTGGAGCACTTGCGAGTTAAGAGAAAGGAAGTTAATGAAGAAGACAATACTTACTCTAGGAAGGCAGAGGAACTCATTGAGGAGCAGAAGAGAGAGTCATTGTTGGAAAAGGAAAGGAGAATTGCTGAAGAGCAAGAAAAGAGGAAGGAGGATGAGGAAAAGATCATTAAATCTGAGTCACTAAAAGAATCAGCTGATTCTCCAAAAGAAGAGGAAGATCAAATACAAGAGGAGTTTGCCAGGAAGATAAGACTTGAGTCTTTGAAAGAGCAATTCAAGCAGGTAGAAGCAAATGAGAAGAAGGAAGATAAGAGGCAAACAAAAAAGGAAGTTAAAGAATCAGCAGATTCTCCAAAGGAAGAGAAAGATCAAAAACAAGAGGAGTTTGCCAGGAAGATAAGACACGCTTCTTTAAAAGAGCAACACAAGCAGGTGGAAGCCAATGAGAAGAAGGATGACAAGAGGAAAATGAAGGAGAAAGCTGAAGAACCAGCAGATTCTCCAAGGGAAGAGAAAGATCAAATACAAGAGGAGTTTGCCAGGAAGATAAGACATGCTTCTTTGAAAGAGCAACACAAGCAGGTGGAAGCCAATGAGAAGAAGGACGACAAGAGGCAAATGAAGAAGAAATTTGAAAAGGAAAGACAAAACTCTATAAAGAGAGAAAATGGAATCAAAGTAAAAGATAACGGTGCAAAGAAGGAGGTTCCTCACTATGAAAGGGTTCAAAGAAAGCAAAAACCACGGAAAGATGAGGCTGAACCTTCTCAGGAGAATGGAAACCAAAGAAAAAAGCATGATGAGGAAGAAGAGCATAGAAAACGAAAGGGTGCATTTGACAAAAATGTAGCTGAAGAAGCTGCTCTGAAGAAAAAACTGGAACAATTAAGTGAGGAAAGGAAAAAGTATGAGAAACTGGCAGCAGAGTATTCTCACAGCAAGAAGCAAAGACAAGCCCAACAGCCACGGGGAAAACCTTTGGCTAGTCAAGCCCCAAAACCTAAGTCCAGAACATCTGCAACTGTATCAAGTGGTCAAGGTTGGTGTAAATATTTACAATGTTTGTGTATATCCATTTTAGTAAACATGACTGCAGCAAAATTTAATCCTTAGGACCCTAAGAGTAATTAGTATTTAATTTCTCCTCGCAGTATCTCACCCAAATCACACGCCAAGGTCATGAGAATAAAGGAAATGATCAACAACTTAAAAAAAACTCTTAAACAAATTTTCCTCGTCAGTGCCATTGGAAATGCAAAGAGAGTAGCATGGGGAAGATGCAAATTGATTTTAGAGTGTAGAGGGTTACATGACATTTACCCCTTTCCTGATTTTTAATACTCAAGAGGGGGGATGGTTGGGCTGGGGAGGGGTAATGTAATGATGTAATGAAATCCAAGGAATCGTGGGCTTCTACTTCTCACAAAAGTTTTGTCCTACAAAATAACTCTGATTTTTTTCCTGCAGGAAAATCAGGAGTGAATACACAGGATAGAAGACCTCAGAGAACTCAGCAAACTCCAAAAGTTCAAAGAACTCAGGTACCCCCTACAAGAGCTACAATCAGAGATGGGGAAATTGGGGCTTCACTGTCCACTGATGCAGCCTATGTTACCCCTAAAAGTGTGACTGCCAGCACTATGGGTGTGTCTGGTACAGAAACAGGTACCACAGGGCGTGGGAAGGGTACAGTTGCACCAGGAACATCCACTAGGGCTAATTCTTCCTTGCTTCCTACTGCCTCCCTAGAGGAGGCAGTAGAAGAATCAACTCCAGTTGAGCCTGTCCAGAGATCAGTGGCAGATGATGGAGTGCCTGGTCACACTGATACCAAAGTGGAGTCTCATCCCACTGTAGAGACAACAGGAACAACTTCCAAAGCAACAAACCATGAGAGTGAGCGTTCAAGCTCTGTGCATCTGGTTCAACTTGAAGAACAAATCCCTAAAAACGATGTCCACTGTGCTGATGGTGAGAACATTAAGTTATTATTTCTTGTATTTCACAGCCTGGGTTTAATTAGGGGAAAATATTCACTTAATAAAAAAATTCCCTTTTGATCAAACATGTTTGCTTAAATTAATATCACAGTGAATGATTTTGTTTTTAGGCTTTTGTCGTGCAAAACCTGAGGTAATTTCACTGGCCTCTCGTTTCCAACAAGTGGAAAAGAAATCAACTGTTGGTTTGGTGGAACCTCCATTGAAAGACAATGCTTCTCAAGCTAAAGATGCACCCAGTGGATTTGCCAACTTTATGAAAGGTTTCCGCAATTTTCATGAGGTGTCATTGCAGTTTATCCTCCAGTATTGGCCCTCTGTGAAAAATGCAACCAAAAACTTGCTGTCACGTGTGGGCTTAGACCAGGTGAGCACCCAATCAAACACTAAGGTCAGGAGAATAAAGGAAGTGATCACCATCGAAAGAAGATGTTGATTGTTAAACAAGTTCTCTTTGGCAGCACCTTGGGAAATGTATGAAGAACAGTATAGAGAATATGCATACTGATGTTAGGATGTAAAAGGTTAAATTCCCTGATTGTGACCTTTTGGAATTTCCAGGCATTTGAGCAGCTTTGTAAGGATCTCGCAGATGTTCACCCTGCTGTCCTGTTGTCAACAGTTGTGTTTGGTACATTGGGTATCCTGTACTTTTTCTGGTCTATCACTGTAAGTACTCTGGCTATGTACATTAATCCTTACTCTGACTGCATGAAAGCCGCTACAAAATTCAAGGTTTTTTGCATACGTTATTTCTCGAAAACAAAGCGCAAACCAGCGAAAAAACAACAAAACAGTGTATATCGAGTAAAACTAAGTCCACATGCCAAAATTCAACTACTTCCGAACACTTTCAAAAATGGCCAAAAAATCAAGGGATCGTTCTTGCTCTGAGCCTTTCAGTTGTTATTCTCCTAAGATTGTGCTCTCGCAGCAGAAGAAATCTCTTCAACTACAATCAACCCTTTACCCATAAGAGTAACTAGCATCAGACTTCTCCTTACAATAGCACTCATGAACCATACATTCACCCTTTAACTCCCATGAGTGACCAAGACAGAATTTCTCCTTACAATATCAATACAACATCATTCAGATAAGCAATGAGAATAAAGAAAAATATCAATTTGGGATAATTAGTTCATCCAATACTAAATTCTCTGAACTAACATTGTAAGAATTGTATGGTTGAAAGAAAGGAGAATTACAAATTTGATCTGGGAGTTAAAGGGTTAAGGTGACAAGAATTAGGAAAATGATCAGAAGTGCAAGAAGTTTTTTGTTTGCCAAACAACTTTTCCTTCTCCCTAGCACATAAGGAAATATATAGAGAATAGTGTGGAAATTATATGCGTATTGATGTTAGCTAGCAAAAGGGTAAAAAAATCACATGTGTATTCCAGTTTACCTTCTGGCATTGAAAGAATACTTCTTGTGGTGGTTGACACATCCATGATTTCCTGTAAATTAACTGAGGTAATATATTTTTCTTTATTTCCACTGGCAGTTTGGAAGGATGGGAAATGGCACCCATGGACCCAATCCTCGTGGTAAGTGATTGAAAAGTAACTTCTTATAACAATACCACAATATCTATTCAAGGTATCTGTAATGAGAATTCATGGCAAAGTGAGATGTTGAATTAAAATTATTGATGTGGAAGAGAAATCTTGCAGGAAGAGATCATTTTGACCAACAATCCTCATTTCAAAGGATTTATTTTTATCTGTTTTTGTTCACTATATATAATGAAATTTGGATTTTCCCCTGGTGCTGGTTGGTTACATTGACTTGTTATTTCTTGAAACACTCACAGACTCAGTGCAAAGTATTGCAGTAATGAAAATATGTGGGAGGTGTTTCTGCTTAAGAAAATTATTGGTAGTAACAATCCTGATAACTTTTCAGAATGATTTCACTAATTTGATTTCTTTAGATGTGCTGAAAAGTCATGAAGCTAGAGTACGCTTCTTGGAAGAGGAGGTTGAGTCATTGAAGGCAGAAAGACTTAAGATGGAAATGGACCGAAATAATTACCATAAAGAGGTACTATAATATACAAATAAGATCTTTAAGGGGGCTGCCATTTTATGTGATGTGGATTTGTACAACTCCAAGCTGCAACTGCTTTCATTTGGTTACCATGATGAGAAGAATTAAAATGTCACAAGATGATTCCAAAACAAGATGGTCGATGCTAATTTTTTTTTTTTTTACCTTTATTAATGCCTTGTCTCTTTTTAGAAACTCATTGCAGAGGAAGAATCGCGCAACTTGCGTTCAAATACAGAAATCCTTACAAGAGCAGTGGAGAAACTGCAGGTTAGTTATCAGAAAAGAAGTTTTGGACTTGATCTTATTTCCTCTTTAGTCCTTGACAAATTAGATTGATTGGAGCTTGGTGCACTGGACTGGAAATGTAATCATGGGATAGACTGACTTCCTGTCAAGGGGGGAGCACTGCTAGTCGGCTCACGCAACCAGGACAGGAATAAGTTCAATTTCAATGGGCCTTAGTGTTCATAAGCTTAACTAATCTTGCACCACTCTCTTTATCATAGAAATGAAGCTGTTTATTTTTTGCTGAGAGATATGAACTGACAAATTTTTGCTATGATGTAATGTTTATAAGTTTCTTTTTCATGCTGTTTGTTTGTTTATTGTATGTGTTGATTATTGCAGAAAGAAAGGCAGGAGATGCAATTGGAAATCAAAAGCACGCAGGAAAATTTGAAAGGACTTGAAGTTGTTCTCAAGGAGAAAGATCATGAAATTGCCAACCATGAAAATGCGGTGAGAGCTCAGCTCTGTACAAGTATTTAACCCTTCAGCTCTCAAGATCTGACTGCTGATTCTCCCCTATATATTTCTCCCCCTATATATTTCCTTAAAAATCATTTACAAGAATTTGGTGTTCGATCAAGATAACTTCCAGTTGATAAGTTTGCGCTTAGCCAATGAAAAGTAAGGAAAAATTATATCACATGATAGGAAATAATATTAAATATACTACTGGGGTACCTCTTTTACATTATTTAGTTTTTTGTTCAGTTATATAATCAATTAGAATGTTGACATATTATTATTTTTATTTTTACAGATTGCAAACTTGAATTTTAAGATTGGAACACTGGATGATGAAATTGTCAAGGTGATAGATTCAGTGTAAAAGTTCATGGAGAGGCCCTCTTTTAAATGTCATACTGTATTTAACAGTCATCAAGTATTGTAAGGAGTTATGTAAAATGTATTTGTTTGTTTGTTTGTTTTTAGTTAAATGATCATAGCGATAGAATGCAGATGGAGAAGGAGGCACACAAAGAACATATTGGAAAACTGAATGAGAAGATCGAACATGCTAACATTGAGCATCAGAAGGTGTGTGGTGGTGATCGTCTTGGTTTATGATCAAATTTCGCTGTTTTTTTTTTTTCTCTTTTTTGTTTTGGTTTTTTTTTTTTGCAACTCTGAAATTATTAGTCGTAAAGGGCTAGGAAATTCTTATGTGTTTTTCTGACTATTTCTTTCATCTTATAAAACAGCTCCAAACTATTCTGGCAGAGATGGAGGAAAAGTAAGTTATAGCGGATTGTGTTTGTTATATTCTTTTGATTACCTTCCTCTGCGTGCAAGAGTTTTTTGTGTGATTCAATTGATATGAAAATGATGTTATTGCAGGAAGCAAGTGCTTCAAACAGGGTGTGATGATCAGTCGCTGCGTCTGTCTGACCTCCAACAGCAATACGAATTTAAATGCAATGAGATTGAGGTGTGTACAGTACCTGTCTTGTATCTGATGATTTGATCATTTGGTTTGATCACTTGAGATGTAAACAATGTAAACTAAATGGTCTGCTGGAACTTTTTCTTGGCAGGTGTTGAAGGATTGCTTCAAGCAAATCAAATTACAGGATGGTGAGGAAGAACCAGGTAAGTTTTACCTAAATATGTTGTTATCAAAATGTAATTGAAATTTGGAAATTTTTTTTGATGTTGCATAATAATAATTTAATATGGGTTCACTTTTGTGTTTTGGTCGATAATGTTATGTGGGAAGTTGTACTTTTAGTTGTTAAATAAATCATATATGTCTTTATTTTTTTTCTTTTAACAGATGAAGAGGAAATGACTGAAAGGCTACAAAACCTATTGAAAGTTCATGAGGTAAGAAACAGTTGCATTTTCCTTTATTTATCTTATCAGTGCACTACAATACTTGTGATGAAACCAGATGAGTGAACCATAAAACCCAGTAGGAAGAAGTGATAGTTTGTCACCTGTTTCAGGAATATCTGAAGACAAACAAACTAAGATTTTATAAATATATGCCATGAGGTTCTTAACCCTTCAAACCCCTTGAGGGTGACTAGCATCTAATTTCTCCATTCAATATCACCCCTGAGTCACACATTAAGGTCAGGAGAATATAAGAAATGATCATCATCTTAAGAAGCTCTTGATTGTCAAACAAATTCTCCTTGTCAGCATCTTAGGAATGAATGGAAACCAGTATAGAGAATATACATAATGATGTCAGGGTGTGTAGGGTTAAAGGCTCATTCAAACAGAGGGAGAGCTTAGGAAAGGCTAAACCTGGAAGTGATTCGGATTTGTTTCGAGCTGAATTTGAAACTTTGGATTTGGGCTATTGCAACCCATTCTTGTTTTCTCTGATTTGCAGGTGACGGAAAAGAATGACAAATTGCAAGAGAAAGTCGAGGAACTGGAGGCAGAAGCTGAAAAGCTAAGAAGGACGAACAAGATGTTTGAAGGTAAGGAATTCAGGATCGTAGCATATTTTTGAGACAGTGTTTGATGATAACATATCTAATGGTTGCCCGTGGTCCACCTCACTCCAAACAAGTCATGTTAACATTTCAAAACTATTCGTAACGAACATCTTAACGTGTGAACCAGAGCCTGTTGTATGATCATAACCTCACCTTTCTCAAGATTCCACGCTGCCGACTTTAGCACCATACACTACCCGAGGTGTGAAAGAAATTTTAGGTTCGATCTAAACCAATCATTTCTTTTCTTGCAGAGGACAATGTTGAGAAGACAGAACGAGCTGAGCTGGCCGAGAGTAAAGCTACTCAGGCCTTGCTAATACAGCGAGAAAAGGAAATTGAACTGGAGGCACTGCAGAAGTATTTCAAATCAAGTGAAGTGGAATTACACCGGTAAGAGATTGTGCCTCACGGCCGTGGATCTTGCTACCAACTTTAAGACTTCAGAATAATACGGGGTGTAGTCATCGAAGCTACGTAGGATTTTCGAAGGTTTTGTTGCATCTGGGTGGTGCGAAAAGTTAACATTTTAATGTCGGACTGTTTCCTTTGTAGAAAAATTACAGCTGAGGAATCAACCCGAATTTCTATCGAGAATCAGCTGCATTCAGAACAAGCCAAGGCTTCCTCTGCTGTGGTAGATGCGGATAAGTACAGGTAAAGTATTAAGTCTTCTTCATGCCTGAATTATTGTCGAGGAACTAAGCGTAATCAGCTCTTTCTGTTACACGCGTGTGAATTTAAGCGCGTGAAGTTCTGATTTTAGATTAGACTTGATTGACTTTTGTTCGCGTATCTTTTGCAGTAAGCGTCAGTCTCAAATGTACTTTTTATATTCGCTCTTAGGCAGCTTTATCTAGACATCAAGAAACAGATTGAAGAGATCGACGAGAGCAAGAAAGAGCAGGTTGGTCTATGAAG